GTTTAAACCCATCAGAAAATGTATTAGTAACATGTGCAAAAGATAATAATTCAATTATTATTTGGGAAAGAAATATAAATAATATATTTGAATTTAAATACATTGTTACATAATCAATATAAGACACAGGGAATAAAATTATGTTTATAACAGATGATGAATTTATTTGGGCAACCAGTTCCAGATCTTAAGATAGCATTTATACTTTTTAATTAAAATAAGGAATATTTTAAGAAAACTAAGAAAAGACAATCCAACTAACTAAAAATAATAAGTTTTAAGACGAATTTCGATTTCCGTTTTCCTACAATAGAGAAAGGAATTTAATAGTTGTCAGGGTAAAAACTATTATATATATTCTTTAATAACTTAATGATGGCAAATATAAAATAGCTTCTCAATTAAATTGTAACACCTATGAAATCTATGGTCAAATCACAAATAATGGACAGTATTTAGTATATTGGGATGACAATATAAAAGGATATAGCATCTATGAATTATAAATAAAATGAAAAATCAATAAGCATTAATATTTATTATTCAGTTTATTATTTAACATTCTTTATTTGGAAAATAAAATTTTTTTAAATTAAAATACTAAATAAAATGCTGTTATAACTGAGAATTTTGATAATGGTGGATGACTAGTTTCGATTAATAAATTGGTTTATTTATTAATTTTTTTATTGAGCAATCTAAATAGATGTACGAATAGAAAATGGTTTTGAGAACAACTATTAATTAACATTATAAAAATAAATATGATTAACAGAAAGTTTTACAAAACTCATCAAGATTATAAAAAAACTTTATATTCAAATAAAATAGTTAGGCACTTTAACTTTACAAAAAAAACAATAATTATATAAAAATATAAGTGTTAGAAAAAAAATAATAAATAACGACTTCTGAAATATTTCTAATATTTCTCAAGGTTAAAAGGTTTAATATTTAATTGCTTAAAGATAAAACTTCAATTAATGAGGGTAACCATTTCAAATAGGAAGAAGAAATTAAGTTTATAGAGGAAAATGGTTCTTATATTATTAGAGGAGATTGTTATGAAAATCTATGGGAAGATTTAAAAATACAATTAAAAATATTCTAAAAAAACACCATCATGTTTATTAAACTTTTTTTCACAGGATTCAACCTATTATTTCTACTAATCATCTATATGTTTGATTAAATATTCTGAATTAAGTTAAAATAAAGATATCAAATTTGTACTAGTTGAAGAATTATAAGAATGATTTATTTAATAATAATTTTATTAAAAAAGTCATGGATATTTGATAAACTAAATTCAAATGGGGAAGATTATTCAATATAAAAATTTTAGCCAATAAAGAGCTCTGTTAGAATGAAAAGGAATTGCTTAATATATTTAACAACTATTAAAAGTTGATCATAAAATAAAATGTTTTTACAGAAGTTAATCCCAAGGTTTAAAATAAATCATCTCTAAGGTTTCATTAATTGAAAAATCATTAAAAGGATACTACAAATAATCCTTTTGATTAAAATAAATAAAAGCATGTAAAAGTAAAAACTAAAATCTAGAAATTATCTAAATAATTTGAAAATTACTTTTGGTTAATATATTATTATTTTATGAATTTTAAATTATAAAACCACACAAAAGTAGTTTATTTAATTAATAAGTCTATCAAAAACATTGGAAACTTAGAAACTGAATTGAAAAAATTTAAAAGAAAAAAAAATGAATAGCTTAGAAGACCAAATACATAATAAAAAGTTAAAAATTAAATTAAATAAAAAAAAACTAAATTAGACTGATAAGGAGATTTTTTCATTATTGATAAAAAATTATCAAAGAATTTAATCAAAATAAATCAAGAAAATTTTAGAATAAAATATCTAAAATAAATACATAACATAAAAAGATTATTTATAAGTTAATTATTTTAGATATTGATGATAATCTCCTTATATAAACCAGATTTATAAATCGATTTAGTTGATAAAAAAACAGTAGAGACAATTTCAATGTTATCAGAACAATTTAGATTAATTGCTCAGCAATGATCTTCCTGTTATTTTTAGTATTTGAAATCTGTAAAAATTACATAAAACATAAGACAAATTTCTCAACTATTCAAGCAGAATATTTAATTTTATTGTTGACACTTCTATTTAATTGAGAAATATTTGATTTTTGCCACAAAACCAAATAGAATGCAATCCTTGTAACATAACAAATTGAAAAAATTTATAGAATAATGAATTAGAATAACTCGAGTTTTATTTGTTAATGTTCTAATATGAAATTGGGATTTAAAATTTGAATATATATTTTTCCATAACAAAATATATTTAAGAGACTAAAAATAATTTCTAAGCTCACATAATTTGAAAGAAAAGTGTCACATTAATATTTTCATAATTCCCTTAAAATAAATGAAATTATTTTACAATATTAGTACCTTAATAAAAGTTATTAGAATAGGAGATATCAGAGTTAATTTTTGGTATTTACTTTTTATTTTCTTTCATTGAGTGACTCAAATAAATAAATAAATAAATCTAATTATACAAATTATTTTAGAGTTCAATTACTAAAAACAACAAACTCTAAAGACCAGCTCCTCTTTATTAAACTCATTGCTTTTAGATAAACAATTCTATTAGGTCTTTCTCATTATCTTTTATTTTCCTGTAGTGGTTATTTCATAAAATTATACTATTTTCTTGATTTATTTGTTAATACTACATTTTAATCTGAAATTAAAACAGTATTTTATTTTATTTTCGTTTAAAATTTATATATGATTCTGTTTTTGAAGATAAAATATAAAATTGCTTTTTCATCCATTACATTATGTAATTCTTCACAGTAATTTCTTTTAAATACATTATTATTATCCTTATATTCTACATTGGTTGTCTTCAAATATAGATTTAAAAGTTGAACCTAGAGAATAATAATGATCGACATATTGTTTTCTATGAAATCCCAATGTTTTACTTATAAAATGCAAAATATTAAATTCAATATAAAATTAGATTGCCAGTGGTCCATTATTTTTCACTTACATACTTGTTCTTAAAGAATACTTTTCTCCTCATTCCAAAAGCAACTTACCAATTAAATTACCCATTGTTGCCACATTATTTATAATTTTAGTTAATACAAAAAGGTTAGCCAATTTAGAATCGATTTAAATTTTCATTTAGAATACTTGAATCATCAAAATACTAATAAATTAACAGTAAATAAATGTAATTGTTTATCTCATCTTTCATCTTTTGCATAAGAGGCTTCTAAATTTATGCATGTTAGATTAAGACACTGATTTAATTAAATTTGAAAGTAGTATTAGTTTCAATCTTATCCAAATAAAATTAATTTAATTCTAATTTACCAAATTACATGAAATAGGGAGGTTAGCTCATTGAATTATATCATAAGAATCACTTATTCATGATTTAAATTCTAATTGAATATTTAGCCGGTTGAATTTAATTTTTGGAATCAAATGTTTTTTTTCTGTATTTCCAAAGTATATTTAATTTTTTTCCCTTAATTTTCCAACACTATCATAATAAATAAAATCATTATTAAAGAATTTCAAACTCTAGTTTTAGAATCTTTAATTACTTCCATTAAATTTAGATTATTTAATAGATGTTTTAATACTTTTTTTATAGCAATTTTGGAAAATAATATCCCATTTTCTGCTTTTTTTCAATCTAAAAAAAACTTATGTAAAATTGCAATATAAATAGGAAAGATAATTATAACAAATTGCACTCATTTTTTATTCTTTATTGCATTATTGTATTTTACAGTAAATTATGTGACACATTAATATCAAAATGTAATTATATTGTGCCCCTATCCAACATATCGTCTATTTAAGTAATAGAATTGTTCTTGTATCAGAAATAATAGAATAAAATTTCAAATTTTTTGCTATATAAATTCAATATTATTATAAATAGAAACACAGTTATTAATATAATAAGAATTTATCAATGGGAAGCAGTTCATCAAAAAAAAAAAAAGCAAAGCCATAGGAAGACAATTTAAATAAATAACCAGTTTAACCAATTTAGGCTATATCTTTTGAATTCAACACTTGGGAGAAAAGTAATTAATACATTCCAGGTTTACAAAAAAAAGATACTTATAATTAAAATATTTGTAATAAAAATGATTTACTATTTTTTCAAAATAATCAATAGAATAAAAATTTAGTTGATTTTAACCCAATAAATTTGAACTAAAATGTTTACGAAAGTCCTAAATTCGAATTAAATCATCATACTAATGCCTATTAGTTTTAATAAGGCTTAAGTTTTTGTAAATCTGAATAAAATAGTATTAAATAAAGGATTGATTAATAAAAAATAAATAAGAATTTATCAAATAATGGACTTAAAAATATGAATAGAGAAATTTAATTTGAAAGAAATTAGTAATAATGGAATAATAATATACCTATTATAAATCAAAGAAAAGAGTTAAATTTATGTGATAATTAATTTCAACTATATTTTCCAGCAAGCAATCAATAATAATTACCATTGATTTAATAAAGAAATGATTAAGTAATTAAATATAACTCATTAGAAATCAATGCAATAACTGAAAAAAATATTGAAAGAGATTATATTTACATCTATATTTTATTCTTCAATAAGTAAACCTCTGAAACATTTTAATTAATATTTCCGTGTAAACATTCTATATGCAATACAATTGCACTTATGAATGTAAAAGGAAATGTGATATGTAAACAAGGATGTGCTTCTTATCCTTTAGATAAATCAAAATTTAATAAAAAAACCAATACAATATCTCATTTTTAAGAAATTATATTTGATGATATTAAAGATTATAATTAGATAACAAGTATCTAATAAATGGCTAAAATTTTCCAAGATTCATTAGTTTATTCAAATAAAACAGAAACCGAAAAATTTGAGTTCTCTAAGAAATTTGCAGATTTAATTTGTAAGAAGTCTATAAGATAAGCAAAATAAAAAGCAAAATAAAAAATAATAGGTGCTAAAAGTTGATAAATTATTTTATCTTCTTAAATTTATTATCAATTGATACTAAATTTTTTATATCCAATTTAATAAATAACAATTTATAAGTCAAAAAAATGAATATTTACAATTTTTAAAATATTAAATGTATTTTATTTACATACATGAATACAAAAAAATAATATAATAAAAAAGATTTGTCTTAGTTCTTTATTTTGTGTTCAAATTTAACTTCTGTTTTATTGAGCTAAACAATTGATAAAAATCACTTTTTACAGAATGCATATACTTATTTTTAATTTATAAATATAAAACGATTCAATAAATTAGATAAGAAGCAAATAATAACATAGCTTAACGTAATAGTGACTAGAAGAAATTTTAGATTAAACTCAAATATTTGAGATATGGATAATACTCTAAATTAATAAATTAAATTTTAAGCTCTAATATTATATTTAAAAGTTTTAGTTTTTATTTTGGCAAATTTTTAGTTGATATATATTATTATTATTAAAATAAATTTTAGTTTATAAAATGATATATATTAAACTAATTTTTTTAAGAATAATTAAAAAAAGTAACATTTTTCATCAGGATAGGTTAAATTTTTGAAACATGATAATTTTGCTTTCAATAATATGTAATTTTCAAAATAATTAAAAATTACTATCATTATGTTTAGTGTTTTCTTCCATAATTTAATAATTTCCAAAAAATCATTCTTCTAATTAAATGAGTTGTGCTCATCTTTTTTGATATATAATCTGTTAACAGAGTATCTATATGAAATTAAATTTTACAGAAATTTCATTAACATTTTTATAATTTATTTTTATGTAAAATGTTATTATTCAATTGTAAATTTAATTAAAAAATATAGAATAATGATGAAAGAATATTTCTCACTAATTAATTTTTTGCCAATATAATTAGAGAAGTTTATTCAATTAGAAACTTTATTGATAATAATTACAATAGTGTTATAAATACACTAATTTAACTGGAGATTTTGTCTAAATAGAAAATTGTTAATTTCATCAGAACTCCAATTTTGAAATGGATGATAGAATAATTTTGCTTTAAACTTTATAATACAGGATTAGAATTGTAAAAAAGAAAATAAATAAAATTTATTTATAAATAATGTAAACTTCTTTTAATTTGAATTCATTATTTGTAATTACTCAATTTGAAAATTAATTTTAATTTAGATTATTATAATGATTTCTCATGGAAATACATTCAAATAAAGCATCTTTTAATTTGATATAAAACAACAACAAAAATAAACGAAAAATGACTATGAAATCATAATACAAAATTTCTATATTATTAATGAATACTATGTTTTTTTTTATCATAATACTTATTGGTTATTAATAATAATCGGATTTATTATATTAACATAAATTATTATTAATTTAAAAAATATACAAATTTTTTTTTTAGAATGTAGGACGTGAAGAAAGTCTAATATTAGGTTAATTCTTATACGCAAATTGCTAGGATATATTCTTAAATTTTATCATTTATTAATAATTTGGCTTATTAATAATTTATGAATATTTAGTAATAAATTTTTCATTAAAATTCGTCTTAATAGTCTTATTGTCTTCATAATATAATGGTTATAAGATTTTATTCTTTGATACTAAAATTAAGTAATGATTGTTTAATTATTTCATGTGAATTAATGTAAAAAATGAATATAATTTCAAATCTGATTAAAATAAAGTTAATTATTATGATATTATATTTCTTAAAATTAAACTATGCTTATCTTCAAAACAACATGATTAGAATAAAATAAATTTGAGAAAATCGTTTTAATATTGGAATTCTTTTTATATTTTATATAGAATATATAGATTATTGTTTATAATTTATAAATATACTGATCATATAATAGCCTGATGAATAAAAACATTGGAATAACAACTGATTTTTATCAACAAAAGATAGTGGAATGCTGCGAAAAGGTATCAAATCAAATTGAAGTAATATTTATTACTTAATGTTATAGTCTTCATTCAACAAAATTCACACTTTTTAGATTCACTTTTAGATGATACTTCTGATTCTTTAAATATTCATTATTAAAATATGCTATTTCATTACTCATTTCATTAAGGCTATTTTGATGGTCGATAATATTCCTATCCTATTTATTTGTATTTTATTTTATAGAAATGCAAACATTATCATGAAAATTTAATGAATTTACAAAAGTTATTGAAACTTGCATTTTACATATTATCAAATCCATCCAGAATGCTGAAATTATTATCATCATTTACTAAATTTTAATTCAGTTAAATATTAATTATTGGATGTATAAAATAATAATAGAAAAAATATTTAAATTTTACATCCAATGCAGTCTATTAAGAAGAAGGATATAAAAACTGTTACACCAAATAATCTTTTATTTAATTTTTAATTAAATA